TGCAGATAAGCTTATGAACTGACTTTGGAAAAGCTAACGTCCTCGCGAGCTGCGCCTCCACGTCCCAGGACACGGCGCCCTTTCCATCTGCTGCGTTAACCTGCGCCTGCAGGGGCGTCGAGGGGGAGGCCCTTTGTGCTGGGGGGGTGCCAGGTTCCCGCCCCTCTGTCTGGCCTGGGGAGGGTCTCTGTCTTGTTGAACCGACTTCGTTGACGATGCATGAACGTCACAGATATTTGCGCCTGAATCTTAGGAATGGCCCCTCCCAGGCTCTGCTGTGGAGCTGGTGGTGACGCCGCCTGCGCCCGTGGCCCCAGCTGCTTTCTCCGTCCCCAGCTGCCAACCATGGCCGATGCCCATGGAGCCTCGGCAAGTGGCAGGACCTGTCCCTTTCCTCGCTGGCTGGGGAGACGCAGGGCTTTTTGTTATGATGCTTACGAAGCCCAAAACGCTCGGCGCGGAAAACGCTGCCACCCCTGCGCAGGTGGAGGCCTGGGGGGCAGCCGCGCTCATGGGTGGAGGCCTGGGGGGCAGCCGTGCGCTCACCCAGCACCTGGCTTGTGTCAGGGTTTTGGAAAACTGACGAGAAAATGAACTTATTTAGAGACGGAGAAACGTGGACATTGACCTTCAGGGGACGATGCTAAGGAGTCGCTGTTGTGGGTGAGAAGGGGCCAGTGCTGACCTGGCAGCTCAGGGGAGGCCCTACAGGGACCGCACAGGGTGGCCGGAAACGAAAACCTCATTGAAAGGAGTTTATGGTGGTGGTCACCTCCTAGGCGGGCGTCTTCCCGACAAGGTCAGTCTTGACCAGCCGTGGGCAAACTACAGCCCGCGGGCCGGATCCGGCCCGTTTGAAATGAATAAAACTAAAAAAAAAAAAAGACAGTACCCTTTTATGTAATGATGTTTACTTTGAATTTATATTAGTTCACACAAACACTCCATCCATGCTTTTGTTCCGGCCTCCGGTCCAGTTTAAGAACCCATTGTGGCCCTCGAGTCAAAAAGTTTGCCCACCCCTGGTCTTGACCGTGACAGCCTGTGGTCCTTGCGCATCCGCATCCGCGATAACACTGCACCCACCTGCGTAGAAGGAAGTGTGTGTCTATCCTTTTACTTGTTATCCAATTCCAGAGGCTCCCCTCCTCACC